CCTCCGGGTTCATTTTGATTTCATTGTACCCGGAATAGGCATCGAGAAAAGTAAGGATCTTATGGCCGGCCGTGTCATCGATCATACGATCGATGTTAGGTAGTGGAAAAGAATCTTTGGGGCACGCCTTGGTTAAATCCTTATAATCTACACACATTCTAAGTTTGTTCCTTTTTTTAGGAACTACAATGACATTGGCTAACCATTCAGGATATTTCACCTCCCGAATGGACCCTATCTTGAGAAGTTTAGTTACCTCATCCTTTATGAATGCGTGCTTTATCTCGGACTGGGGTCTCCTCTTTTGCTTCACCGGTTTGAGCCCCGGGTCCAGGCTTAGCCGATGTGTCGTTATCTCCGGTGGTATCCCTGTCATGTCTAAATGGGACCAAGCAAAATAATCTATGTTATCAATAAGGAATTGAATAAGCCTTTTCCTGAGTTCGGGGGTTAATTCCGTTCCCAGGTATACCTTTCGCTTGGGCCGGTACTCGATCAATATAACCTGTTCCAGCTCTTCGACCATTGATTTGGAGGCATCGAAATCTTCGGGAACAATAAAAGTTCGAGGGATCAGAAAGTCCTCCTCTTCTTCTTCTATCTCCTGCTTCCCCGATTAGGTCGAGGCTGATGGTTATGATTGCTATTTGACTTCCTCTTTTTCTTTGATGCTCGGCCTTTCTGAGGTTGATAGTGTTGATATTGGTGTTACCTCATCGACCGCAAACATTTCCTATGTAGCATGTTATTCCCCGTATACTATTTTTACACCGTCCGACATCAGGAATTTCATCACTTGGTGGAGGGTCGAAGGGACTACCCTCATATTGTGGATCCAAGGTCTTTCGAGCAGGGCATTGTATCTAATGTCACCCTCAATTACGCGGAACTTGGTGTCTTGAATCGTTCCAGCAACATTCACCGGTAGAATAATCTCCCATTTAGTTGTTTCACTGGCCATATTGAAGCCGTTTAAAACCCGAGTTGCGGGTATGATTTGATTCTGTAGGCCGAGCTGTTCCACGACCCTCGATCGGATGATATTCGCCGAACTACCTGGATTCACTAAAACACGCTTATCTTGAACTTTACTTAATAAGATAGAAATTACCAGAGCGTCGTTGTGGGGTTGAGAAATTCCTTCTGCTTCTTCGTTGTTGAATGACAAAGTGCCTTCGGGCACATAGTCTCGGGTTCATTTTTCCCTAGTGGTTGATACCTTAGTGAGTTTGAACATGGGTCCCTGTGGAACGTTGACCCCACCGACGATCATATGAATGACATATTGGGGTTCCTCCTGTTCATTTTTCCTGTTGGCGTCTCTTTCTCTGAAATGATTCTTGGCTCGATCGCTGAGGAACTCTCGAAAGTGGCCCTCATTGAATAGACGAGCTACCTCCTCCCTTAATTGCCTGCAATCCTCGGTTTTGTGACCATGCGTGCCATGATACTTGCACATCAAATTTGGGTTTCTTTGGGAATGATCGGTCTGTATGGGTCTGGGCCACCTAGTATCTTTGATCCTTCCGATTGCCGATACAATGCACAATGCATCGATGCTAAAGTTATATTCCGATAACCGAGGTGCCTCTTTTGGATCGGCATACTTGTCGAAACCACTTTTTCTCATAAGTCCCCGAGAACTCTGTCCTTGATCATTTCTTTGATTGTTCTGGGCGAAAATGCGTCCTGAACCATTGTTCCTTCGATATACGGTATATGGTTAATATCGGTCTCTATTCGACCATCGCTCCCTATCGATGTCCCTCTGGTTCTTAACTACCGACCTGTTTGGATGTACTGAACCGGAGGGGGCTCTTAGTTGGTCGTCCTAGACCCTGATCTTCGATTGATATCGATTGTGCACATCTGCCCAGGTCACGACCAGATACTCGATCAAACTTTGTTTCAACTGACGTGATGCTATCAAACTCCGCTCATTCAACCCTTGGGTGAAAGCTTGAACGGCCCAATCATCTGTGACCGGTGATAATTCCATGCGTTCTATTTGATATCGGGACACGAACTCCCTCAGCATTTCATTATCCCTTTGGCTTACCTTGAAAAGCTCTGATTTCCTCGTTGCGACCTTTATGGCCTATGTGTGTGCCTTTACGAAAGAATCTACTAACATGGCGAATGAGTCGATGGAGTTTGGTGGCAAGTTGTCATACCAAATCATTGCTCCCTTCTAAAGGCTCTATCCGAATGTTTTCAACAGCACAGATTCGATTTTATCATCTTCTAAATCGTTACCCTTTATGGCACACGTGTAAGAGGTGACGTGTTTGTTAGGGTCGGTCGTCCCATTATATTTAGGAATCTCGGGCATGCGGGATTTTTTGGGGATCGGTTTTGGAGCTGCACTCGGGGGGAAAAGGCTTTTGCATAAATTTTTTGGAATCCAACCCTTTCAACACTAGTGGTGCCCCCGGGATCTGATCGACCCTTGAGTTATATATTTCCATTTTTTTATCGTTTGTTTCGATCCGTTTTGTGAGTTCCTCGACTATCTTAGCAATTTCGGGATTAGTCCCCGATTCTTGCTCATTTGACCTTACTATAGCTGGCTCCGTTCTGTGGGTGATTTCTCGGGGTGGACTGGGCTCTGGTCTGCTCGGTACCTGGGTTTGACTCTGCAACTGAGCTATCGCTACCTGTTGAGCTTGCAACATTTCGAAAATCATACGCAAGCTGATTCCGTTTTCCTCAACGCTATGGGTGTCTCAAGCTGCAGATCGAGTACCACCATGAATGTTATTTTCAGATTCAGAATGTTGGTTTGCCTCAATAGTCACATGCGAATTAACGTCTAATGGTACTTCGACTCGGACCCCAACGGCATCGACAAATGGCCTTTCGGCCCTGGGCGTCAAGTTGTTGGTCTCACCTTGAAGGCGAGCTTCGTTATCGACAGGTAAGGCCATTAATTGAGAGTTCGTTATTCCTAATCCGAAATCAAAGACACTTTCAACGACAAGCGTAAAACGGTGTGTTTTGCAGATTTATGTCAAATAACCACTGTTATCCTTAGCCCCACGGTGAGCGCCAAACTGTTTACTCAAAAAACGAATAGAGTTGAATTTATACGTAGTTCTAAGGGTAGTATAACTTGACGCAAATCGTATAAGCGAAAATATCGAATATTGACTATCAAGAATGAAAATACAAACAAGGTTGAAGGGAGGATGATTTATGAGTAAGCGAGATGAAAATAGTTTATAAAGCTCAAAATGATAATCTCTCACTATGGAGCATATACACAGTATCTGAGTTATAGTGTCTTAATGTCTCAATGCCCCCTTACAGAGATAATAGTCATCCATCTTATAGTGGGGGATCTTACTTTAGATATAATTAAAAATACATAGTGGGGAACCATGATAAATTAACTTTTTCCTTTTTCCCTGCCGAGATTCTCTCTTTCAGTGCGACTGTAACGACTCTTATCTATAGGCTCGATATTGACTTAAGCTCGATACTGAATCGAGCTCGATATTGATTCGAGCTCGATTTTAACTCGGGGCCCGGTATTGATTCGGGCTCAGCATTGGTCGGTCTTTGGCTCTCGAGCTCAATAACGTTGCTTCGCATCATGGTTCGATTTGAATTTGAGCTCGATAATGACGTACATCATGGTCGGGTTCGATGCAAACGCAGTCTATATCTGATCGAGCCATTGAAAAATCATATCGTTTCTCGCCACATCCTTTCCGAGAAACGAGAGGACTATCTGCATACGGTCGAAACCAATTTTGGCCTTCGTACGACTGGTCGAGATGGGAATATAATGGGTCGAAGAACGTCTTCATAATTTCGGGATAAGATCCGAAGCCGGGTTACCTAGCTTCGAGCTTCAGGGACCGATCAATACCGAGCTCGAAGTCATTGTCAAGCTCGAATCCAAATCAAACCATGATGCGAAGCAACGTTATCGAGCTCAAGAGCCAAAGACCGACTAATGCTGAGCCCGAATCAATACCGGGCCCCGAGTCAAAATTGAGCTCGAATCAATATCGAGCCTATAGGCAAGAGCCATTACAGTCGCACTAAAGGAGAGAATCTCGGCAGGAAAAAGGAAAAAGTTGATTTATCATGGTTCCTCATTATGTATTTTTAATAATATCTAAAGTAAGATCCCCCACTATAAGAAGGATGGTTATTATCTCTGTAAGGGGGTATTGAGACATTAAGACACCATAACTCAGATATTGTGCATATGCTCCATATTGAGAGATTATCATTTTGAGCTTTATACACTATTTTCATCTCGCTTACTCATAAATCATCATCTCTTCAACCTTGTTTGTATTTTCATTCTTAATAGTCAATATTCGATATTTTCGCTTATACGATTTGCGTCAAGTTATATTCCGTACCCTTAGAACTACGTATAAATTCAATTCTATCCGTTTTTCGGGTAAACAAATCGTGAGATTAAATTTGAAATGAGTTTATCCCACGTTTGGTTGGGATAAAATCGTAGTATAACTAATCCCGTAATTAGTTATCCTGAGATTATAGTGCTCTTTTATTCCTACGAGAGGGTAAGATAACTAATCCCGAGATAATTAATCATGAGATAACTTGTTATCCAACCAAACCAAACAGACCCCTAATTGGATGATTAGAATTACATCACCCTTAATCAGAGATATTAGACTGGAACTCATAGGTTTTGAGAGAAAAAACTATACCTTCCTTAGTAGATTTACTAGAATAAATTTTAAACCTTGTTTTTTGTTTTTTCCCTTCTTGAACGAAATCTCTTACAGATTTTGATAATATATACAGAAAAAGAAAAAAAAGATTATTAAGATTAAGTAGAGTTGTCTCTATCTTGTTGAAAGAAACAAGACTACAAATTCACATGTATATGTGTGGATATCTAGATAGAAACGTGTGTGTATCTATATGTATCATATTATAAAAATATGTATAAATAAATAAAATACACATTATTTGAAAACTTAGAAAGAGAAATAAGAGAAAAAGGGAAATGTGGTAGGTGTGAGATTTACCAGATACCTCCTTCATACACCCACACAGTAATATATATACCCCTCTTATTTCTTTCATTTCTCAGCTTGGATGTTCAGAGAACTACAAGCTTCGAACCAAATTTTCTCTTTCTTTTTTGTCCTTCTTTTCTCATTTTTAGAGTAATTGCAATTTGCACCCAGAAATTTGAAAGAAAATGCAATATCTTACTCCATCATCGTCGGGTATAAATCTCAAATCGTTAATCCGGTCGAAAATTCAATCTCACCTGGTTGTTCCGAGTCGACTCGTTATCAAATGCGCTTACCGGTTTGAGTCGTCCAACGCAGCCGCCAACACCGGTACCATAAATACTAACGGTGCTCCGTCGACCTATAACGCTGGACACGTCGGCGCGTCGCGAGCTGATTGGCAGAGTTCCTGTGCCATTTTGGCAAGTAAAGTCGTGTCCCAGCAGCAGGACACTGAGATGAGCGGCGGTGCCGGTAACATCACCGCCGTCAACGGCCATACGATGATAGATCTTGATCTCGTTGCCATCAATGACAACCAGCCTAAGCCGCTCACCATCACTGACCTCTCCCCTGCGCCGATGCACGGCGCTCAGCTCCGCGTCGCCTACCAAGGCGTTCCTGGCGCGTACAGTGAAGCTGCCGCCGGCAAGGCTTATCCGAAATGTGAAGCGATACCTTGTGATCAATTTGAGGTTGCATTTCAAGCCGTTGAACTCTGGATTGCAGACCGCGCAGTTCTTCCCGTCGAGAACTCTCTCGGAGGTTCCATTCACCGGAATTACGACCTCCTCCTCCGTCACCGTCTCCACATCGTCGGAGAAGTCCAGCTCCCGGTCCACCACTGCCTCTTAGCACTTCCAGGCGTTAGAAAAGAGTACCTAACTCGAGTCATAAGCCATCCACAAGCCCTAGCTCAGTGCGAACTCACTCTCACAAAGCTCGGTCTAAACGTAGCTCGCGAAGCCGTCGATGATACCGCCGGAGCCGCCGAATACATAGCTGCCAACAACCTCCGCGATACAGCCGCGATTGCATCCGCACGCGCCGCGGACCTCTACGGTCTCCAGATCTTAGCAGAAGGGATCCAGGACGACTCTAGCAACGTGACTCGGTTCGTGATGCTAGCTCGTGAACCAATCATTCCTCGAACCGACCGGCCATTCAAAACAAGCATCGTATTCGCACATCACGAAGGAACAAGCGTCCTTTTCAAAGTTCTATCGGCGTTTGCATTCAGAAACATAAGCTTAACGAAGATCGAATCACGGCCGCACCGGAACCGGCCGATCCGAGTGGTCGACGATGCGAATGTAGGAACCGCCAAGCATTTTGAGTACATGTTCTACGTAGATTTTGAAGCTTCAATGGCGGATGTTAGGGCTCAGAATGCGTTGGCTGAAGTTCAGGAGTTCACGTCTTTTTTGAGGGTTTTGGGAAGTTATCCAATGGATATGACTCCTTGGTGCCCTTCCCGTGAAGATTAATTCAATGAATAAAATAATTACTTTTATCTATTTTGTAATTACTATTTCCAAAGAAGGGAAAAGAAAAGAAAAGGAAACACCATTTAAATTAAATTAAATTCCATTGAATATTTTTTCCCTGCTTTGTGTTTTGTTATATTGCTTCAAATCCGAAGGTAGTTACATGTAGCGTGATTTACTACTTAGTAGGCGTTTGGACATAAGAATTGAAAATTCTAAAATAGGGGGAAAAAAATTTTCTAGTGAAAATTGTATTTGAAATTTAGAGTTATGTTAGGACATGAATATAATTTTGGGTTGTTTTTGAAGTTTTGTGAGTGATTTGAGTGAAAATTTTGAAAAACAGTTTTTTGGAGTTTTTCAAATTTTCGAAAATTTTCAAAATGTATATTCAAGTAAAAATTAGAAATTTTATAAACAAACGATGATTTCAAAAAAAAATAAAAGTTTTTTGGAAAAAAGAAAAAATTTCTTATGTCCAAACGGACTCTTACTCTCTTTCAGAATTGATGGTAAATGTTAATAATCCTTGTAAATGTTAATACTCAAATTTTCCAGTTTGCTACTTTATTGTTTGTATTTTTCCACCCCTAGTTTGCTAATTTATGGTGGAGTGGGACAATCGTGTAAGCAATTCTTGTGAATTTGTAAGACGTGTGATTTATATGCATTTCCAAGACGACTAAATGGTCATTTGGTTAGAAACAAGGTATTCTTAGATGGTAATGATAAGATTATGGTTAGAAACAAGGTATTCTTGGATGGTAATGATAAGATTATAGTACCGTGATTAAATGATAACAGAATTATTTAGTGGATATATTTTTTTTGGTAGAGGTTTGGTTCATTAAATTAAAAATATGATACATGAATTATAAATGTAAAACATATTTTTCTTTATACTATATAAGTTGAGATAAACTTTTAACTTAATTTTTTTTAAAGAATTTTGGGAGAAGGATATCTTTATTATTTTAGTGCTTTATCCTCAAATTAGTAATCCATCCAACCCTTAATATTGGATAGAAATAAATCACAATTATGGTATAATTAATCCGAAAATTGCTAATCCGAGATTCAAGAATTCAATCAAACGCGAAAAAAAATCTCTCACATTTTATCCCTAAATTGTGACGGGGATGCACCTAGGGTCAACCCTTATCCTATTTTTATTTGCCCTAGTGATCAACGCACTGACGCGCCACATTCAAGGGAAGGTGTCCTGGTACATGTTATTTGCAGATGACGTTCTACTGATTGATGAGACGTGGGGCGGTGATAATGAGAGGTTAGAGATTTGGATGCAGACCCTGGAGTCTAAAGGTTTCAAGTTGAGTAGAACCAGGACAGAATACTTGGAGTGCAAGTTTAGTTGTGTGACGCAGGTAGTGGACGAAGACGTGATGCTTGATTCACAAGTCATCCCTAGGAGAGAAAGTTTCAAGTACCTTTGGTCAGTTATATAAGGGAATGAGGAGATTGGCGAGCATGTCACACATCGTAATGGTAGAGGGGGATGAAATAGAGGCTCGCTTCCGATATTTTGTGTGATAAGAATGTGCTACCAAAAATTAAATGTAAGTTCTCTAGAAGATGAAGGTGGCTGAAATAAGAATGTTGAGATGGATGTGCGAGCATACTAGGTTAGATAGAACTAGAAATAAAGTTATTCCGAACAAGGTGGGCGTGGCCCCTGTGGGGGATAAGATGAGGGATGCGAGATTTAGATGATTCGGGCATGTGAAGAAGAGATGCACAAATCCCCCAATAAGGAGGCGTGAAAGGTTGGTCTTAGAGGGCCTAAGGAGAGATAAAGGAAGGTCGAAGAAGTATTTAGAAAGGTGATTAGACAAGACATGGCGATGCTCCAGCGTACTGGGGACGTGACCCTGGATAGGAAGGTTCGGAGAATAATTAAGGTAAAGGGTTAGGTAGACGAGCGTTGTCCTTGCTTGTACCAATAGCTATAGTATATTACTTAGTGTTATTCTTATATTTTCTTATTTTTAGATTTCTATTATTACTTGTTGTTGTTTTCGCTTCGGTTTTCTAAATACATTACTTAGTGTTAGTCTTGTATTTTTGCTTCTGTTTTTCGATTGGTTTGCTTGTTATTGTCCCTTCCTCTTATCTTTCCTGAGCCGAAAACAACCTTTTTGTCTTCTTAAAAGTAGAGTTATAGGGATAAGGCATGCGTACATACTATCTTCCCCAAATTTCACTTGTTATTGTTATTGTTTTTCCCAAAATGTGTATCGATTATCCCACTAACAAACCAAATGACCTTTTATGTATTAAAGCTTGGAACGTCTATTAATTACCGAAAACAAAATTTGCCTAAAGAGTCTTTGGTGAGTGTCTTTGTAGTAGAATGGGACATTTGTGTAAGCTATTCATGTGAAATTTTATGATCTGTACTTTATTTGTATTCTCGAGACACCAATATTAAAGCTCGAGACATCCATTGTTACAAAAAACAAGATTTACCTAAAGAATACTCTTATTTGGTAAGTGTCTTTATATACCTTAAAAACTTTTATGAATTCGTCCCGGTAAATTTTCACAAATATAACAATTTAATTATCCAAGTAATAGGACGGGTGTAGAAAATTTCCACGATAGAAATTTTAAACTGAATTCTTGCATATATGTGTTAAAAAAAAAAAAAAAAATTAGATATATGTTTTGAATTCACACTCTTAACTCAAAACTAGTCATGTAATTAAACTGTAAAATTACCGTATCTATCGTCTCTTTTTCTCTTCATTCCAATGATTCCACCTCTTCTGCTTTTTCTCTACAGAGTTACCTTTTAATTGAGAGGAGGACACTAGTACTTTTCAAATAATTGAACGAATGAAAACAAATAAAAAGAATATTCGTTTATTCGTTATTCTCCTTTTCCCCTTGTATTTATTTTGTCCAATGAAGAGAGGAGCAGATGCTAAAGCGGGTTTACATCATATTGGGTAGTGGTCAAAAAAATGCTAAAAGCCCCGTAAGTAATCAACATTAGAGATTATTGTCTTTTATTAATTCCCATTATACCCCTGAAAATTTTCATTTTGAGGTGGTATTCTATTTTATTTTCAAGACAGTCACTGTAAAACATCATTTTCTATAGTTTATATAAAACGGAAAAATTCCTTTTAAGTATTCAATTTTTGATTTGAGTGCTTACTCTTAGAGTTAATAACAATAAAAATATAGAAAATTGAAACAAAATAAACATACAATTTACTAAAAGAATAAATAATTAAATAAAAAGCAAGCAAACCTAAATTTCACGTATCCAAAAGGAGGACACACAACTATATAAATTGCAGAACTGTTAACCTATAGTATAAAACAAGTAAATACATAAATTTACCCGTACATGTAACTTTTAGAAGTTATTATTTAACAATAAATATAACCTTAATTATTATAAATATTTCAATAGTCGATCTCAAAAATAATAAATGAAATAAAATTAATAAACTAAAATATTACATTCACAATAGAGAAGTCTGCTACGCTTACAAGGATCTAGGAGTTATCTAAGATATGCATTCGTGGCTTTAGAAAAGCCCCAAATCCCTTCTATTTACTACAATTCTTCCTCACAAATCGGTCATCTCATTCGTGTGATCCATTAGAGAAGAAAAAAAGTCCATATTATAGAAATGAGAGTGTGGAGTTATATCATAATTATTCCCCTTGTCTTTGGTTATGCTCAAACCATAAATGAAAGGCAGAATTCACAGTTTATGGGTATGTCTTCAACGAAATGAGGATGAGCGAAATACCGTAGATAATTTGGAAGAGATTTATTTGATTCTTTCGGTAGTCGAAATACATTCGCTTATGAAATTGTTACTAATATTTACTATTTTTTATGGACTACAGGCATAACAAGGCCGTAGGAATCCATGTAAATGCATTCCCTTTCGGATTTGGATTTAGCATGTCATTTGATGCAAATTTTGACTTGCGCAAGCACTTCTGCATAAAATTTGTGACATATGATTCCTTAGTATTGTCTGAGAAATCCTAAATTAAATGACTGTTTAAATTTATATTCAGTTTCAGAACATCCTTTCAAAGGAATATTTACTAGTGTTCTCATGCCTGGAGATGACGAGTTTGTTAAGTCTTCCTGCTCTACATAATCAAGTGAAACAAGAAATCAACTTGTCAAGGATATTTTCTTCTCTGGTAGAGCACACATAGGGATAAGTAATTTGTGAGAAATATTTGTAGTAAATAGAAGGAATTTGGGATTTTGGGGCTTTTTGTTTAGATTAGAAGGTTAATTTGAAAATTTTGCTAACGGTGAGGGTAGATTTGATCCGATAGTATAACGGATGATAAATATGAACAATATATCAAAATATAGGGTACATTTGGCCCTTTTTCCTTTTTTCTATTAGAAGCAGATGAAATATTACGTAGTGTATTACCAACTATTAGGTCATATAGAGTTTTCATCGACTTAAGTTCCTAATTAAACTTTTGGCTTGCGAAATGGTACTGTTTGTTAAGTTTATCACATATAACTTGTGAAATCAGTTCTAGTTTATAATTAATATAGAGTATGCATATTTGTAGGTGAACATAAATTAGGTACTTAACAATACTTATGACAGATTCTTTAGCTGATAAGACACCAAGTAGCATACTTCCTTTTTTTTTTAAAACATTAATATAATAAATTCATTTTCCCTATTTTTATAATAACTAGACTTTAGCTGATCTCATTAATTAACGAAAGTCCATAATTTTAAATTTATTTTAAAAGAAAAAAGAAAAAGAACTAAGTAGTAATGTGTACAAACCAAACCGGAAAACTGCACCAAACCGAAAAGTCAAACCAAACCGATTAAAAAATCCGACTAGGTTTGGTTTGATTTGGTTTGGTATTGAGTAAAAAATTTCGAACCAAACCGACATATAAATATATAATTTTTTATATATAATTTTAAGACTTTATATAGAATTTTATTTAAAAATGTCTAGAAATATTTGATATCCTCTCATGGGATATAATATTTAATAGAACTATAAAGTGCATTCATTTTTATTTACTTTAAATAATAGATTGTATCACTTTCTTATTATGTGTTATTTACATGCGTCA